TACATGTATAAGGAAACCAGTCCTTCATTATTTACAAATGCATTAGCTACTAGCTCTCTGATGAATGAAGACTGAGACTAAAGGCTAAAAGCATAATAATAATTATAATTTTAACAATAATAATAATAATGATGATGATGATGATGATGATGATGATGATGATAATTATTATTAATGTTATATCACTTACCAGCACCATCTTTAAGCAAATCATGCATCTTTTCGATATCATATGAGTATTTAAAAAATTCACTTTCAGATTCTTGAGAAAGATCACTGCAACTACCATCATTTGAATCATCAGGAACTGACTATGTGAGAAAGAAAATTATATTCACACTTATCAACTTCAATATTCATTATGTGTAAAATAGTGTGAGTTATATATTTTACACTTGATGATTGGTTAATTAGTCTACCCATACATAATATACCAAAGAATATAAATACTTAACTAAACCAAAAACAGTTTCCAATTGCTCTAGATCTAATCAAATTTGCTATCTAGTCTAAGGCAGGAAATGACTGTTTACATAAACACCAATGATACATGATATGGATCATATATACATGATATGGATCATATATCCATGTACAGCATGCAACCTGGCAGGTTGTAAATTGAATTCCTGTGGTCAGAAGTATGTGCATCATACTTTATGAATGACACAGCAAACTTTGAAAGCAGAGGTCTTAACTACTGATCAATACAGCAAATGATTAGATGTAGATGTAGTAGGAGAATAGAAACAGATTGGTTTAATCACTAGTAGTACTTCAACCATTAAACTGAGTAAACTAGAGTCTGTTTTCATTCAGTTTGTACTGTGAATCTATTATTCTATACAAAAGCCAATTGACTAAAGTACATACTATTATTAGTAGTAAAAATTATTAGAACAGCTAATGTAGCTCTATGCTTCTGTTTTAGCATACTTGCTGTGGAGAAGTATCACTTATGCTGATCAATGCTCGTCTTTCCATCTCCTTGCTTTGAATATCCTCCAGTTCAATAGTTGATATGGTCACTTCCCCGGAATCAACCATCTCCTAGACTGCTATGAGCACTACACAGCACACAGTGTCAGCTCAATCTTAGTCTCGCTGCCAGCTAGACTACAACTCCCTTGAACTCTTTCTCTACTGCTTTATTGAGCACCGCCTACCAACTTCCTTTCAAGCACGTGAAAACATGTGGTCTGAACCAGGAGTTCAGAATCATGGCTGAAGAAGACATGATGTTTTCAAATTTTGCCATAGCTTTAAAAATTTCAAATGTGCCTCTTTGGGAAAGCTTTTTAAGTGTTGGCTCAATTGCCTAAGTATGCAAGGTTAGTGAAGGCTGGTGCCAAGGGCAAGCCAATTAAGGCTATGATAAACTTAGCCAATAACACCTCTACCAAATTGGATTTAATACACGATCTAAGATATACAGACACCAGTTAATGATGGCATGGTATGCATGTGCACACATCATAACATTTAGATCTATTTTAGTAAAACAAATTCAATGCAGCATCATTTCTTTGCTGTAAACTCTGACCTGCAGCTATGAACTGTGTGACCTTTGAACAGTATAACTATTGCAACATTAACATTGTACTTTACATTTAGATGAACTATTAGCTCTGATACTTGAATTGTTACAATAATTTATATAAAGTTTACAATACTTGAGTTGGGTATTTCAAACCTCTATAAAAACTGGCAAAGGAACAAGTGGCCCATCTCAAACCAGCCAAGTACAAATTTTCAACAAATTTGAGATTTGAAATCAATATAATATTAAATTTGAGAAACATATCAAGAAAAAAACAATAATTAATAATAATGATAATAATAATAATTACAGTTATTTCAATAAAATTCGTTAAATTAATAAAGAGGGAAGTGATGAAATTAATGATAATTCTCATGACGTCATTATGATGTAATATCGTACAAAAACACGCCCACATAAGTGAACATGATCAGAAAGATTAGGAGAGAGAGAGAGAGAGCGTATCGCAGCAAACGTTTGATCGTGTGGTCGGATTGTTACAATAACTAAATGAGATTGTGTGGGTTCCTCTGCCAGTGAATGGCATTGAGAAGTTCATTGATGTGTGGTGCAGAGGGACTGATCCTGACTGAACTGTCTGGGAACTCCATGACATAGTATAACTACAAAAAGAGAAGTAGCATTGGTTAGAATTATCAAAAGTACAATTGCAATTATTAAACTCTCTCTCCTTCCATCCCTTTGCCAGCCTCCATTAACAGTCAACATATTAGCTTCTCTCCCTCTCTCCCTCCCTCTCCCTCCCTCCCCCTCCCTCCCTCTCTCTCTCCCTTACCTAAATCCTTCCGTTAATGAACAGTTCCCAGTGCTGATATCAGTACTGAATCTCACCGTTCTAACTCCATTAGATGATGATTGAGTGCTGGTGCTAGATGCACTGGTAGAGTTTGATAGGCTTGCATTGCCCCTTAATATCACAGGACAACATATTCTATCAACTAAAAGGGAGAGAGAGAGAGAGAGAAATGAAAGTGTGATAGGGACAAAAAACAAAGTGAATTACATTAAAGTGTATCGTAAATTGAATAGGAACATAAGTATCTGGATGCATAAGTACATATATGTACATGCATGTACATCAATGCGTATAATGATTACTTGTTAAAGTACCAATGTATAGGAACAACTAATTATTATTATTATTTTAGTTCAATAGCTGAAGTATCTACCGTTGTATGTACTGATTTTAGGCTTCTTGATACCATAATAGTGCGAAATTTTCGAGGGCTATACATTTTGTGGTTTTTTGAAGAATTGCAAAAATTACTTCCAAGAAAATCAATATTATTAGGGCACAAGATGGCAGACGGTATAAATTTGCAAAAATAAATCTACAAAATAGATTTTAAGGCAAATTTGCAAAATTTAGAGCCCTCAAAAATTTTGCAAAAAAAAAAAATTAAAAAAAATTTAAAAGACCCTATGCTAGTCTGCTGGATTAGCTCTACAATGACTTACTTGGTTGAACAGTGAATACTGATACAATGGAGTATGTGTAGCCATATTGATCATGAGCCTCTAATCTGAATGTATAATAACCAGGAGAGAGTGCTGAGGTACTGAATGTATATGAACCATTACCTGGAGAAGAGAGGGAGGGAGAAAGAGGAGAATTGAGAAGAGAAGGACACATAATAAGATCAAGTAAAGTTTGTTTTTCATAAATGGGCGTTAACTCAAAAAATTGAAGTCGGAATCAGCTCAAACTTTCTACACAACATAAGGAGATCAATACATATCAGAAAATGCAATAGAAAATTGGGGTGATTTTTGAGCCATTTTTTGGAAAAAACCATGGGCTATAGCCTTGGGTATTTTTCCAAATTTTGGCGTTTTTTAAAAATGGTCGTAACTTGGAAAATTGAAGTCGGAATTAGCTCAAACTTTCTACACAGCATAAGGACATCAATATGTATCAGAAAATGCAATAAAAATTTGGAGTGATTTTTGAGCCATTTTTTGGAAAAAACCATGGGCTATTATAGCCTTGGATATTTTTCCAAATTTTGGCATTTTTTTAAAATGGTCGTAACTTGGAAAATTTAAATTGGAATCAGCTCAAACTTTCTACACAGCATAAGGACATCAATAAGCATCAAAAAGTGATGGTTTGTGTGCCTATGCCCATTAATCATTATCAATATTAATCCTCAGTGATGACTTACATTGGTGAGATGGTAGGTTGGCTATTGAACAGTTAGTGGTAGCTTCTCTATTGCAATCAATACTAACAGCAACAGTGTATGGAGCACTGCCTTGAGATAAGTTTAGATTACAATGAAGAACAGTTGAAGCTGTACAATAAAAAAAGAAAAACAAAAAATTAAAAGATTGCACACACAAAACTTTTATTACATTTTTTGTAAATTTTATGGCCTAACACACAATGCCAATATATAAAGCTATTGCTATAAAAAAATTATCTACGAGACTTTGTTCACAAAATGAGGTGTGCATTGAACAAGCTAATAATAATTAAAAAATAACAAAATTAACCTTCAATCTACATAGCAGCTTTAGAAGCAAGGGATTCACAACCCAATGGGGCAATAGTAGATGCTTAAAGCAATACACTCCACAGAGAAAAATTTCAAAGGACATATACATGTACATATACATGTATGTGTAATGTACATTTTATAAATTTGCCTAAAAATCTATTCTGCAAGTTTCATTTCCACAAATATACATTGTATATCTAATGCTATTATTAAATTCATTTTCACAGATTTTACATGTACATGTATCTCGATTCAAAAATTGTCCCAAAATTCACCACCATTACTGTACAATGAAATCCCTGAATGTACACATTTATTTCTTGACTAGTGTTTGTTCCTAAGGTATTTCTTAATTGCATTCTTTCAGTGAAATGTGGAGCAAAACAAAGTGTGAACACTTGTAACATACAGTGGAGCAATGAGCATTGATTGATAAAGAGCGACTGTGTATAGCCTCAGGCAATAGTAGAGCATTAATTTAAAATAATAAAAATAATAATAAATAAATAATATGTACATGTAATAGTTGATAAGTAGATGATATTGTTCTAATTCTTTTAATTATATTTATTTTATTTACGTATTTCTGGAGCTGATTCTAAAAAGAAGTCGTACTCCTCAGTAATTGATAAACTTTTTGGTTGATGATAGCATTTGACATTGAGGGTGTGGCTACCATTACCAATGACATTAGGATCAGCACGATACTCATTGAAACCTGTAGGAGTAGGAGAGAGGGAG